TCATGAGAAAATTGACCAAAAAATAAGGAAAATAAGAAAGAAAAACTCAATAATCCTGTTTCACAGACCACAAGGATCACGACTCCACAATGTTTTCCCGCGCGCGCAAAGTCGACAAAACAATATTTTCACTCGCGCGCGACGTGCCAAAAAATTGGAAAGTAAGGGGGGTTTGTGTTGTGTACGGATCTCACTCTCTTTTTTCCAGTTGTAAAGTGAAATTATGCGGAAAGAAAGCTGTGAAGGGGCCCTCAAGAAGGAGAGAAGGCTATGGAAACCGAGAGAGCGCTGGCGAGAGTAGCCAGGAGACCAAGAGAGAGGAAGAGAGAGCTTTGGGCCAGTAGCAAGAGGCCAAGAAAGACGAAGAGAGAGCTAGGGGCGGTACAGTTCGGAGAGGTCACCGGTAGGAGAGAAGGAGAGAGAGGAGAAAGAGGTAGAAGGGAAAGGGAGACTAGTGAGGATTGCCGAGGTCACTGGTAGTAGAGAGAGCTGGGTCAAGGAGAAATGAAAGCAATACAATAACTGGAAATCTTTCATAATGACCTTCCCGACCAAAGTGACAAGCTAAGCTAGGCTTTCCCTACGTAGGCTAGAGTTTTCTCCGCGCTAGGCTAGAGTTTTTCGCCACGCTAGGCTAGGTTTCTGTACGCTAGGCTAGTTCCCCCCCCCCCACGCTTGGCTAGGCTTTCCCAATACCTCTGTGTTAATTAGAACGTTAATAATTTCAAGCATCAAAGAAAGTTGATCATCGCAGCTTGATCCAGATGAATAACTGTATAATGAATTGTGAAGATATGTTGAAGCTGAACCAACGACCTGAAAGCTGTTATTATAATTATTATTATTTATTTCATACGTGTTATTATTAAGGCATTTGTTTTCGAATTACCATGGCTATTACCATTATTTTTATGACATTACTGTTTGCTTCGTAATTGTTATTAGTTGGGTATTGCTATTATTACTGCTAATAGTTACTGTTATTACTCGTATTATGTCTATTGTTATTACTCTCATTATGTCTATTATTACTCTTATTACGGCTATCATTATTTCAAGCTATTATGGCTATTAAAAGCCATATAGAGCGTCTACCTCACACGCGTTGGTTCCGTGGTTCGAGTCTCCTTACAGCCCAGATCAATGAAAAATTATGGCTATTATTATTTTCGTTATGGCTATTGTCATTATTAAATTTAATAACAATTTTCATTATTTTAATATTTTTTGCGTCGATCAGGCGATATTTACTGAAAGTTTGAGTGAAACAAGGAAACTTTAGTCCTCAGCATAGTGCTATAAGTAGACTGTATACTCACTGTATACTCACCGAGATGCAGGGTATAGTGGTTATCTTGAGGTTATCTTGAGATGATTTCGGGGCTTTTTAGTGTCCCCGCGGCCCGGTCCTCGACCAGGCCTCCACCCCTAGGAAGTAGCCCGTGACAGCTGACTAACACCCAGGTACCTATTTTACTGCTAGGTAACAGGGGCATAGGGTGAAAGAAACTCTGCCCATTGTTTCTCGCCGGCGCCTGGGATCGAACCCAGGACCACAAGTCCAGCGTGCTGTCCGCTCGGCCGACCGGCTCCCAATATATATCCCAATATAAGTGGTATATACACTTCTTGGTGCAAATTTAATCATCCATATAAATCGATATTAATCTTTCTGTATAACAGTTTTGTTTTAATATTTATCATATTTCGACAAGCTCTCTTGCAAAACAGACGACATCAATTTGTTTTTGTTTTCAATTACCAAAGCCTACCAAATCTCAAAAGGGCATTGAACCCAAGCGTTAAGGGTAGACTCAAGTATCCTCCATGTAAGAAAACGGAGCGCGGGGTGATGCTCTCTCTCTGAAGAAACTCGTCTCATACTTTCCCTTTCTATACCCTTGTCTCGGGGAAGCTTTCACCTTCTTCATCCTTGAGTTCAACCACTCTTCCTTTTCTTTATCCTTGACTTTCAATGCCACTTTCCCTCTTGGCTGGCTAACTTTCACTCTCAGACGTCCAAGGGAGTCGGGAGGGAGATTTGAATTATATTTTCCGACCAATGACCTTCACATGCTGGAAGATTCCAGAAGACACATGCTTCATATACCGGAAACCTAATTAACAATAAAATTGCATTAGGCATTTTAATTTCGTAACCACTGCGGACACCGAATGAAATGTTTATAATTCCATTCCTTTAAGGAGAATAATTTATTTAACGGTATCTGATATTAAGCATTGGCGAGACGGGACTGGAAGGAATGGACTCGCCCGGCGAAAGGGGAGGGCCGTTAGGAGACTGGGTCCACGTGCCTTGGAGCCTTAGCCTTCAGTTACCGAGGAATGGGGGAGAGTGGAGGACGCGTCGCGTCCCGTTGCTAAATAGCTTGTTTTGCTAGTTGGGTAATTCCAGTCCCACCGTTTGTATCGGTACTTCCGTATTGGGCTCCGCTATTTAGGCAGTTAACATTACTAATAATTTTGTACATACAGTTTTGTTGTTGTTATTGGGGGGGGGGGGTGTCTGAGAATTCTGTATAACAAATTATGGATGGAAAAGAAATTTATATAAAATGTTAAAACGCGGTTATTGAACCAACATACACTCTTATGTTGGTACTTATAGGCCTTATATATATATGTTGTATATATATTGTATATATAGATATACAACTTCAGACAAGTCGTTTCCTGATAATTTAACTAACATTTGAGTAGGCCTACCTTGCTTTCATTGCACATTTACTGACTGATGGCATGGGGTAATTTTACCGATAAAGATCTGATAAAACGCCAGAATTGATAAATATTATAAGTTTGTTGCTAAAACTTCATTAATAATAATATGATGGTTGAATATCATAGGCGTCTGAAATTGGCTCATTCTGTGATAATCTGCCCCGTGTTCTTAGCTAATTCGGAAAAGTTTGGGATTATTGAATATTATTGCATTTTGAACCTTCCCCATAAATTTGTAAATATAATTGCAACTTTGATTTTTTTTTGGGGGGGGGGGGACTGTCTATTTCAGCGGTCAAGTCTATTTTGTGTTGCGAGCTGACAGTCAGTCTGGTAGACATTCTAATTACATTCTGATAGCCATTATGACATTCTGATAAGCAGTCTAACATGCATTGTTATACATTCTGATAGATATTCTAATAGACATTCTGATAGATATTCTAATAGACATTCTGATAGATATTCTAATAGACATTCTGATAGATATTCTAATAGACATTCTGATAGATATTCTAATAGACATTCTGATAGATATTCTAATAGACATTCTGATAGATATTCTAATAGACATTCTGATAGATATTCTAATAGACATTCTGATAGATATTCTAATAGACATTCTGATAGATATTCTAATAGACATTCTGATGGATATTGCTAACTTGTTTTCACCTAACTCTTCTTGTCAAACATACACTGACAGTATTCCCAGATATACACACGTACAGTATATGAAGGATATACAACCAGGGACGGAGAGCTAGAGCACACTCTGGGAATCTTTTTTGTGTACTACTAAATTTTCCATTCCGTAAACAAATGTAGCTGTTTTGCCTAAACCAGAAACGTAACATATTCAACTGTTTTACTTAACCAGATTGGTAAAAAAAAAAACATGCAACGGTTTAGCATAGTCATACACGTAAAATAAAAATCAACCGTTTTCTCTAACCAGAAACGAGCCGCTCCAAGCAGTCCATCTTATTTATTTATTTATATATATACAAGAAGGCACATATTGGGATTGTGAGGATACATAGCATAGTAATTACATTCTTGTAAAGCCACTAGTACGCGCAGCGTTTCCGGCAGGTCCTTAATCTAAGAAAATTTCAAGTAGATCCCCTGGATATCTAGCCTATCCAGACCGACGCATGAAAAAACGTTAATTTTAAGATGCTTTATGTTTTACAAATACGTCGAATTTTTAACGGAATGGTTTGATTCCGTTAACAATACGAAGTGTAGGTGAGAAGGCCGGCTGAAGCCAGTAGACTAGTCCATTGTGGCGCGCGGGGGAGGACGGGCGAGTCCACTGTGCAGCAGTTGATGTTCAAAAGGTTTAGGGAATTTAAATAAATGTAAATAAATAATTAAAAACTATCCAGTTTTGAATAATAATGTTAATTACATTATAATTTATAAATAGAGACGAGGAATAATCCAGGCAGTACAGTCGGGTTCGTACAGTCTCAAGGCTCCACATACGCATGTTCTCACCTAGTTGTACTTGCGGGGGTTGAGCTCTGGCTCTTTGGTCCCGCCTCTCAACCGTCAATCAACTGGTGTACAGGTTCCTGAGCCTACTGGGCTCTATCATATCTACACTTGAAACTGTGTATGGAGTCAGCCTCCACCACATCACTGCCTAATGCATTCCACCTGTTAACTACTCTGATACACACACACCTAGTGTGTACTCACGCCCACACCTAATGTGTGTGTGTGTGTGCGTGTGCGTGTGTGTGTGTGTGTGTGTGTGTGTGTGTGTGTGTGTGTGTGTGTGTGTGTGTGTGTGTGTGCTCACCTAGTTGTGTTTGCAGGGGTTGAGCTCTGGCTCTTTGGTCCCCCCTCTCAACCGTCAATCAACAGGTTCCTGTTGATTGCGTGTCACTCAATAAGTCAGGGTAAGCCCAGTTAACGGTAGAGTAACCACACGAAGAGCCTCGATCACCCATAGGTAAGAGGGACCACTGGGAAAGCCTCACCCTTGGGTAGCAGGGACCTCACTAGACAAACACGACCAGACCTGAGTATATACCACAAAGTACCAGACCAAGTTCAACAGACCTACAAAAACACAAAACCAGTCTCGCATAGAAAAAACAAAAATAATGACCGTAGCTACAACAATGAATTTGATCTTCTGAACAAAGACATTTCACGGAACCAAAAACAAAGAACACAAAAAATCACAACATTAATTTCATCAGGGAGAAGTATGTCGTTTGTTGTAGTTGTTAAATGTGACTTACTTCAAGTAGAGCGGTAGTGGTGAGTGTATGAACACTGGGGGTCCCCGCCCCCGGCACCCGGCCCGCACACCCACCGTGTCAACAAAGCCGGTGTGTTCGTCAATCGAATCCAGATTTCAGTTAGCGTTCGTTCGCCTTTCCTAGGATTTTTGTTTTGAGTAATATCGGTACAAAAATTATCACTTTGATTAGGTTAAATAAATAAATAAATAAATAAATAAATAAATAAATAAATAAATAAATAAATAAATAAATAAATATATTATATTATTTTTTGTTATGAATAAATAAACGTTTTTTATATTATTATTTTTTTGTGTGACTGAAGTAAATAAAATCTCCTCCTACTCTTTATTAGTGTTTCCTCTATTCTCTGCTCTGTTCCACCCTCTTTCTCCTCCCTGTACCTCTTTTATTCTCCGCCCTCTCCTGAGTCCGCCTACCAGCTGTCAACTGTCTAATACAGTCACCCTTGACCGTCCAGGTTTACCGTCACACGTGCCTGCAGGCGTGTGTGTGTGTGTGTATACATGTGACCTCTCAACCTCTGCATGTATACTTTTGTCCTGAACATAGCCTAGGAATAAAGTAAAATCTGTAAGTATACACCGATAGGCGGAGTATAGTTTTGAGTATACATATATCCTGTGCGTATGGTGACGCCAAGAGCTTACAAGAACGCTCCCTTATATATAAGGGAGCGTTCTGAGAGCCGCAGCTGGCCGGCCGGGCAAGACCATTGCCCCTCACGGGGGAGTCCCTGCATCTAACACAACCATTGTTCACACAGCCTGAATAGACATATATACCTGTCACTAACTGCTATAAAACGTAATAATAACATACGATATGAAGCTTGAAGTATTTAATACGAGTTAAACCAAAGAATGAGTCAATGGAGAATATAAAATGGAGAGAGTCTGGAAGGTAGCCTAGGCGACCCTGGGCCGATAATATCCCCCATGGTCACTGTGTCCTAGGAAGCTCCTGAGGATCCTAGGAAGCTCCTGAGGGTCCTAGGAAGCTCCTGAGGGTCCTAGGAAGCGCCTGAGGGTCCTAGGAAGCGCCCGGGGGTCCTAGGAAGGTCCTGGGGGTCCTAGGAAGCGCCTGGGGGTCCTAGGAAGCTCCTGAGGGTCCTAGGAAGGTCCTGGGGGTCCTAGGAAGCGCCTGAGGGTCCTAGGAAGGTCCTGGGGGTCCTAGGAAGCGCCTGGGGGTCCTAGGAAGCGCCTGAGGGTCCTAGGAAGGTCCTGGGGGTCCTAGGAAGCGCCTGAGGGTCCTAGGAAGCGCCTGAAGGTCCTAGGAAGCGCCTGGGGGTCCTAGCTCCCTCCTGGTGTCCTGACATTGTCTACTACACCAACTATACAGTACTTATCATTGCTATTTGTTAAAATTATATTCATTCTGGTTTCAAAACTCGCTTCAGGACAGGCGGGAAACATTGGCGTTGTCGGAGAGGAGGAGTAGTTGAGCAGTTTTTCTCACAGGATGCGACGGTTGTGCACATGGCTCAGGGTTGGGCCTGGCTGTCCTTCCTAGAGCATCCTGCAGCCAGCATCCTGCCTCTCTCGTTATCACACGCACACACGCGCGCGCGCACACACGCGCGCGCGCACACACATGTGTGTGTGTGTGCCACCAGGCGCTTGGTGGCTGAGTGGACAGTACGCTGGATACGTAGTCATGTGGACCGGGGTTCGATTTCTGGCCACCAGCGGGAACAGATGGGCTGAGTTTTTTCACTCTGATATCCCTGTTCACCTAGCAGTAAATAGGTACCTGGGAGTTAGACAGCTGCTACGGGCTGCTTCCTGGGGATTGTATTAACCTAGTTGTGCTTGCGGGGGTTGAGCTCTGGCTCTTTCGGTCTGCCTCTCAACTGTCAATCAATTTTTGTATTTTTCACACACAAGCAGCCCGTACCAGCTATCTAACTACCAGGTACCTATTTACTGCTAGGTGAACAGGAGCATCAGGGTGAAATAAACTCTGCCCATTTTTTTCCGCCATCGCCAGGGATCGATCCCCGGGCCATAAGATTACGAGTCCCAAGTGCTGTCGACCCAGCCATCAGACCCTTCAAGCCAGGCCCATTGTGTGTGTATGTAAGAAACATATATGTAGTAGACATAATAAATTGGTTAGAAAGGCGGGTCCAAGAGCTAATAGCTCGATTCTGCAGATACAAGTAATAAATGCAAATAGTAAATACGTGTTATTATTTGTGGCACCAAGTCCCAATCTCTTTTATTATCCCAATCTTTACCTAATATGAACAAATCCACAAGGGCCGTGACAAGAAATGAACAAAACGAACAAGGGTTGTTCATTTTGATGCATCACGCTATTGTGATTTCTCGGTGTTTACCTTACATCTCACTGTTTATTCAAGTTTCCCCAATTCCTTAGTTTACTTCCTTTTAATTTACCGTCGTACTAGTTCTATGGTCACCCCGAACATGCAAAAACGGAAACAAATCCTAATCACATTAATTATATCATAGTTTCCCATAAAATTCCGGCCGCATTTTCTGTGTATCAGCTGGTGACGTCACCAACTGTCTGTTCCGCTTCCTGGTTCACCGTCCGTCTGAACCTTTACCAACCAACAGATGGCGTCCACCTCATATCTACGCTACCAAACCTCTAAAAAACTGCGCTCTTATAGCCAAAACTCCGCCAATATTTAACGAGCGAACAGCTAGATAACAGCTTGCTATCACAAGGAGCGGAAGATAGAGAAGGATAAGGATAGGCTGCCTGTCCCAGCCCTCAGGAGCTGAAGGTCGCCAGCTGCTGGGACTGTCCCAGCAAGGACCCACATCAGGCGATGTGTGAGGGACCCTCATGCCTCTGCCTCGTCCCTGGAGCTGCTCTCAGAGGCACGCGTGGCCTTGTGGCACACTATCTAGCCTTCAGCCATCCCTCTACTATATATGTTCCACATATATATATATCTGTATATATATAGGACCCCCCTGGCCCAGAGCTGCGACCATGCATAAGTCGCCCTCTGGCATGAGGCTATAATATCGCATTATATCAATATTTTGGTTCGTATTGGACTCAGATAAGGCAATTATAATTAAATCTTATATATTTTCACATGTTTATGTAAATCGCATGAAACTAAGGTATGTAGAATAGCTGGTTAATACATATGTATATCTAAAAATGTGTAGATATTTAGAGTGAGGGTTGTATAAGAAGTTTGTGAGTAGAACTTCTGGAAGTTACAATGGACTCGTCCAAGCCTTCCAATACTCAGGGCCGTGTCTGTGTACACGTGTGTACGTGTGTGTGGGGTGTATGTGTGTGTGCGTGTATTAGTGTGTGTGTCTGTACGTGTATTAGAGTGTGTGTGAACTGTGTTTACGTGTGGTATCTAGGGTGTTGTACAATATTTTGTGTTAGGCTTTTCAGTACAGGAATCTTTGAAGGATTCTTGTGGTTAAAACTCTTTATCTGGTCTTGGAGTAATGTTTCAAGATTATTATAATCAAATTGTAAATGCATTATTAATTTACCAAATAAGACAGATGTTTATATTAAGATCCATTTATATAAATGGTTATCTTAATGCGGATATTATCGCATTTACTATTCAGTATTAAGAAAATATTTATAAATAAAGTTATAGAAGAATGCCCTTTAGAATGTTTTTTCCCATTTTCTGTAGAGGTATTTGTGACGTCATGACTAGGAAGCGTTGGGATAGGTTGTTCACCCGCCAAGGTCGTTACCAACGACTTGGGTTGTTGTTCTCCGCTCTCACTGTCTACTTGTACGTTACTTTCAGTCTCCTGTTGGTCTGGGTAATGACTGGGTGGGTGACCAAGCGGGCAAAGGGCTAATGTCACCGCTATACACACACGTGTGTGATGAGGAGGCTGTCAACCTTGGAGCTCTCTCTCTCTCTCTCTCTCTCTCTCTCTCTCTCTCTCTCTCTCTCTCTCTCTCTCTCTCTCTCTCTCTCTCTCTCTCTCTCTCTCTCTCTCTCTCTCTCTCTCTCTCTCTCATACAAGTTGGAGGCGGTCGAGGGTCATTGATATCGGCCGCTCACTGCCTGTGAGTGGTTGAAAACAAGGTCAAAGGTCAGAGAGAGAGAGAGAGAGAGAGAGAGACAGAGACAGAGACAGAGACAGAGACAGAGACAGAGACAGAGACAGAGACAGAGACAGAGACAGACAGAGACAGAGACAGAGACAGAGACAGAGAGCGGAGATAATAAACATCTACCTGAATTTAATGTAGATAGATTACATGCTGTGTTTCTTAGTGATCTCTCAATATAAACATTATTTTAAATACGTAAAACAATAAGAATGACATATTAATAGATAGACGAACGTTGAAGACAAAATTTGGAAAACCTTTTGACAAATAATACAGTTTTTAGTAAATGACTGGAAGCAATGCTTGACATAATTAAATAGTCCTTCAAACTACTTCACAAACGGGACCTAAAACCTTCAGTGTTTCAAAGATGTTCCATTCCTGCGTCGGCTCCAGTCCGAGACGACTCTCCCGTTTTCTGTGGCACGTTAGGGGGGGGGAGACGATAGCTTTCGAGAGGATAAAGATAGCCTAAGCTACTCTCTCCCTTTGAGATGTATTTCATTGTCTCAGTAAACGTAATTGAACTTGATAGCGTGCGACCTTATATCAGCTTTCTCGAACTTGAGTGGTACCTCTGGCTGGCTCTCTCCCTCAAGCGGCCCGCTTTCTCAATCCAGTGTTTATCATGTGAAAGACAGGTTGAGAGCATTCCTAGTAGGAAAAGTAGAGCAGCTTCGGCGAAATTTCAGGATTTTCGAGCTCAGCTAGTGGTATTTGTGGGGGGTGAGTCACGGCTCTTGAGTCCCGCCTCTTAAATCATTAAGTGACTGGTATATAAAGTCCTACTGGGCTCGTGTTATATCTACATTTTATAGATGTGTATGGATTTTTAAAGCTGGGTGTGACACATGAGCTTTACTTCTGTGTACACACAGTAAAGTGTACACACACATTAGTTCTTAGTACGTGTGTGTACAAATATCACAAAGAACTCACAATGGCTTGATATATCTGGGAATCATCAGAACGCCGGTTTATGTCACCTTATTG